GTGACCGGACCACTGTTCCCTCTAAGCTGAGTTGGCGTGAGCTAGCTCACAGGTTTTTAGCCTCCGGCTCACACATTTTTGTCTCAGCTCAGGAAGGATGGAGCTCCGGAGCAAACTGATAGATGCAGCAGCCAAATTGCTCGCTCACAACTTTAATGCCAGCAGTTTACAAAGCAGGATTTTTGCACACAAGAAGACTCCGCAGCTTAGAGGGAGCCTTGGACCTGACTCAATCAGAGAGGAAAAGGGTGGACCCTCAGGGTCAGCCTGGTGAGATTGGTAGAGGGAGGGGCGGATTGGTGGGAATTGGCACAACTTCATATATGAATACTGGCACTTTTTTAACAACAGAAAAGCATGGGGCTGCCGCCGCTGCTTGTGACATGGAGCCAAGGGATCAGCTGCCCTGAGCAACATGGTCTTGCGTGTCACCATTCCAGTTTAGAGCCAGTTTGGTGCAGTGGTTAATTGCGCAGACTCTAATCTGGGAGAACCGGGTTCGATCCCCCACCCCTCCACTTGCACCTGGCTGGATGACCTTGGGCAAGCCATAGTTCTGACAAGAGCTGTCCTTGAAAAAGAGCCGTTTCTGTCAGAGCTCCCTCAGCCCCACCCACCTCCCAGGGTGTCTGTCTGTTGTGGGGAGGGGAAGGGAAAGGAGTTTGTGAGCCGCTCTGAGACACCTTCCGGTAGTGAAGGGGGGGGGATAAATCCAATCTCTCTTTCTCCTCTCTCTCCATTCCTTGTGTCCCCTGGTCTAGATTCTTCCTAAATTCAGCCTAGGGAAAAGTTTCTCCTGTGCTCATTTCCGTGCATCCCTTTGAGGCTCAAAGCGCTAGGGAGAAGGTTTCGCAGCCCGTGCCTTATTTTCCTGTGTCCCCACTAGTTGTGAACCTAATCCACAGCTTCCTGACACTCCCAGTTCTCACCGTGTCCTGCTTCTGCCGCTTATGTTCCACGGCTCCCAAATGCCTGTGACTGCTTTGCCCTGACTGGTCCTCTGCCTTGTTCAGTTTTCTCACCACCCACCTCGGTATAATCTTTGTTGTCTTGTTACATCCTGTCCTTGATCTCTTCTGCTCTGTGCTGTTGTGTCACCTCTAAACGAACAGCTCCACATGCTTGCTTTCCCTCTCTGATAGATTCATGCTATTCCTTCTCATTCTCTTCATACTTGGGCATTACAAGCTGCAAGAAGGTTCTGGTGGAAAGTTACCTTTTTGCAGAATCTCTCTTCCCAGTTGTTGATGCTGGACAGCTATTGATTCATGGCCATGAAAGATCAAAAGCTTGTTAAGAGTTTCAATAATGTTTTTTGTAAAATGTTCTTAATGTAAATAGTTGTTGATGACTGGTGGTTTTTCCCCCCTCATTGTGTTTGCGTTTTCTTTTTTCGGGTTGACAGTTTTTTGAGTACACGTCCCACCATGAAATCCGTTACAATACCCGGCATCCTGAAGCCTGTGCAGCTGTTGATCCAGGAACAGATTATTTGATAATGTACCTGTGTGAAAACAATATCCAGAACATTCCTGAAAACCAGAAATTTGCTCTCCAAGAGGTATGGATACTGTTCAGTCTTTTTGTGCTCACTGTTGGCAGCTCTTGGATAGGGCTGAGGCTCAGTGGCAGAACATCTGCTTGGTATGCAGAAGGTCCCAGGTTCTACCCCTGGACACCTCTGGCTAAAACGTCCAGGCAGGAGATGATGGGAAAGACCCTTCTCTGCCTGAGACCCCCCCCCCCGGAGAGCCAACTGCCGGTCTGAACAGACAGTACTGACCTGGATGGACCGACAGTATGATTCAGTCTAAGGCAGCTTTATGTGTTCAGTTCCTGGAGATCTAAACTTCGGGATAGGCCATAGCTTAGTGGTAGAGGATCTGCTCGGCATGCAGGAGGTCTCAGGTCTCCACTTAAAAGGACTAGGTAGGAGGTGATGTGATAGACCTCAGGCTGAGACCTTGGAGAGCTGCTGCCAAGACGTCTGAGTAGGCAGGACTGACCTCGGTGGACCCTGAGGGGTCTGGTTCAGTATGAGGCCGCTTCGTGTCACGTGAGCACACGTGCCGAGAGGCTTCAGAAGGGCACCTCCGTGAACTTGCTGCTTCTCTGGCTGTGTCACTCGGTGCTCAGCATGACCCCTTGATCTTCTCCTGCCTCCTTGTCCCGTGTCCACTGACGCTGCTGCGAGGAAATCCCTTTGGAAGAAGGAGGTTGGCTTTGTAGGGCATGCAGGTGAAGGTGTTGGAAGCTCTACAGTCCCTCCCTGTGTCTCCCCACCCCTGCGCTCTACGGACACGGGTATCTGGCCGAGCCGGCTGCTGTCCTTGTGCCCGCGGCCTGTGTCGGTTATGATGCTGCACCCAGATCACCTGGTCAGCCTGATTCCAGCTGACTCCGCCCAGTTTGGAGGGGGCTGGGCTGCTCCGGACCTCACGATGCGGGTGGGAATACACGCTCTTACCTGCCACCTGAGGCCCTGGCACACAGTTATTCTGTGCAGATCCAAGCCATTGCCTGTAACTCGCTTTCCTTGCTATGAAGTGAGTCTGAAATGTCCCCAGATGAAGGGATGGAAATGGTCTGAAATTTTTAAACGTCATCTCACATTAGAAGTTTTCAGATCTCTCACTGTCTGGTATCTGATCCAGTTTTGCTCCTGTACCATACAGACTGCTTCCGCACATGGGAATTTTGCATTTAATTGGATTTCTAGCCACTGCACAGGCTTTATGAAAGTGTTTATACCTGGATTCTAAGCCTAAGGGTGAATATAGATGAAGCAGTGTTGCCAGAACTCTTCTAGTCTGTTCTTATTCATGTGCACTACTGACCAGAAGCAGCCGATGCTGTGGGCTGTGCATCTGAGAAGTCCCACCTGAGAGCCCCCATGCAGTTAATGGGGCCTTTATTGCCGTTTACTTGGTCGACACAGATAAATTTTCTAAGCATGACAGCAGTAGCCAGATGAGCATCAGAATATACCATTTTGCCCTTCTTTCTCTTTCTAATAGGACCTCTTAAACTAATAAAGAATGAAAACAAAATGTATTTTCACCTATATTTTCAATTGGGCTTTCTAGTATAGCTTTTAAAATTTGTGTACTATGAATTGTAATTCTGAAACCTTTTTTTAGGATGGCAGTTTAATTCATATGCAGACCCAGAAGTGCCTACAAGCTGAAGCCAATGCTCACAATGGCAGCCCAGCACCTTTATTACGACCCTGCACCAATTCAGAATATCAGAAATGGTTCTTCAAAGAAAGAAGCTGATGGAGAAATGACAGGATAACCCCTGGCAGTCAAACAGGAAAACACACAACTATTTTTGTATGTTGAAGAGTTGAACCCCCCCCCCTTCTTTTACCTTTTCTAGCAGACTGAACTCTATATTTGACAGGCCCAGATTACCCTGCTGTAGGAATTTGTGCCTCTCTGTTTTCCAAAAATCTATCCTGCCTTCGCCACCCCAGAGGTAATGTATTTTTATAAACTTTAGGTATGGTGATGAAATGCAAGTGGTAACACTAATATTAGTGGTCAATAGCTTAAAGATTTATTTTTCTACTAAAGCGTTATGCCTATTCTGCCTTTTTAGAGATGTTAAATAAGCATATAAGATATGGCCAGATGTGTGTGAAATGTGTGACTGCGGCTTAGCATCCATGTAGATTTTCTTTACATTGTTCTCTGATAAACTGGACCAAAGCTGATCCGTAAAACACTGGAGGACCATACAGGTACCTTAAATTTGTTTGGAGTGAGCTCACAGAAGAGATCTTTGGTGCTTCTCCCATTTCAAATGCAGCCCCCTGAAAAGCCACTTCTGGGGATCAGCAATAGAGATAAGGGAACAAGGTATTTGATTAACCTTAAAGACATTCATTTGGAAATACCTTAAAAACATTTATACAATATTTGTGGGGTTTTCTTAAAAAAAAGTTTAATGATGTCTGACACAACTACCTCAAAACACAAACATCATATTTGAGATGAGCAGCCTCTACTTGAGACCACCCCCACCCACCTGGAGATCCCCCACCCCGAAGCAGTTGGTGCGCCTTCCCTTCTTGTCCCCCAGGCACCCTCATGCACAGTGCAGCAGCCATGCCTGTCTAAGTGAGCTTCCCTCACTCTTGCTATAATTTGTGACAGTTAAGCCCTGCTAGGGATGTGCAGTTACAGGAAGGAAGGAAGGAAGGAAGGAAGGAAGGAAGGAAGGAAGGAAGGAAGGAAGGAAGGAAGGAAGGAAGGAACATTCGCTGCTCCTGTTCCAGGATAGGGGCAAGGTGAGAGGGGGCAGAGACTAACCACCCTCAAAATCTGCCACCTGAATTCATCACCTCATCATAGAGCTGACCTTGTGAGAGAATAGCTTCATGGTTCTCTTATTATGTACCTTTGTCATCTGAGCACTTTCACTTGTAACGGGTGGTAGCCCTACACTGTTGAATCCCATGTATACTGGATGCTGCCTCCATACTAATTTTTAGCATCTTGGGTCATTCATTTATGACATCTTTGTTTGTGGCCCCTTCACTGAGCAGATAAGAAACTTAGCAAGCCACACGATGCAAATGCTCATGTGCATGAGAAAAAAAGAGGAAAGTGTGATGTTAGTTTGAAGAAGCATTGTACTTTTTCTCCCTGTTTGTTTTCCATACTTAAGCACAACCAGCCCAGAAGTATGGTAAATGTCTCATATGAAAGCAGATCTCATTAACTTCAGTATAACTTGGGTGCTTCTGCTGACAAATGTAGCTTTAAGTTCATCAGAGACCATTCTTCATGTAGTTCATCAGTAATCTTCTCCTGAAGTCTCTCAGGATGACTAAAGTGTCTGTCCTGTTGGGGTTTCTACAGATCATTTGTCTGTGCTGTGGTTGCACATGTTGTCAGCACCACAGAGTAGCCTGGGGCAATGTCACCACCTTGTTCCTGGATGACATCATGTGACCCAGAGAAAAACTCCATTGCCAGTATAAGGCTGGTGCGTACATATCACTATGCTCTCTTTCAGTATTGCCAGCAAATTGGCAAGCTTCCTGCAGCCTCTTCCATCCCCGGAGCAAAGATTTCCCTCCTCCTTAAACATCATTAAGCAATTCATTAGCCCTGTTCAGTGCAGTTAAAGCGATGTCTGGTGTTCCTTGAGCTAGGATCTGCAGCCATGGCCTGGTCTGGGTTTCGGATACTGGGCTAAGGGAGACCCTGTCAGCAGTGAGGCCACCACATTTATGGTTACCTGGACAGGGGAGGGAGCTGGTGTGTCCTTGAGGCCACCTCCGGGTTCACTGGCTGCAGCCTGAACAGGAGAGAACGTCCTGAGCTTGGACAACCACATGGTTCAGTTGTATACGATGGACTGATGTTCCCTAAAGCAATGTGGGAAAACTGGAAATGGTTAGGAAACAGATTTGCTGGGTGGTGGCCTGTCTGTGATACCAAGAAGTTGTATTCATTTTTTCCCCTTATTTTTGAGATTAGGCAAGACGTCTTTTTCATTTTGGCCTTGCATAACGTTCAGTGGACTCGTGTATCAGCAAGAAAACTTGCACTTAAAAAATTACAGAATACTCTGAGGCTCCCTCTTCCTAAGTGCCTGATTGCTTCAGCTTTCCTATTCTGGTTGGTGTGCTTGGAAGGGCTTTTTTAAAATCTTAAGACTTTATCATTCCTCATGACATCCATATGACTGTTAAATCTACTTCAAAAGTGAAATTAATGTTCAGTCATTTTTATAAAGATTACTGTAATTTTTGGGAGACCATACCTTGTAATGTTTAGATATACACATTCTTCCCAAATTGTTGACAATGATGTGGGTAGAGAGATTTATGTAAGACTTTTCAGAGTTCTGTGTTGGATTAATGCAATTGATAGAAAATCCAATAAATTTTTTGTTGATTTGAAGCTTGAATGTATATATGTCTTTGAAATGTTTTAAAAGGTCCTTATTTGCTAGATCTAGGATACTAGAAGGAAAACAAGGCATGTTATCTTGACTTCTACTTCCCTTACCAATAGTGTGAGCGTTTCCACTGTTTGTCTGCAAGATTCATGTTCCTGTTAAATCCAGTCTGGTAGCCCTGCTATGCCCCATCAAGCATCAGCTTTTTATTTCACTGCATTTTCATTTAGATAACTCCTGGATTCTGGCTTATGAAGTGTGAGTGATTTCTAAGCACAAAGCACAAGAGGTCATTACAGTGAATCTGAAAAAGGTAGATGAATATTTAGGGAACTTATTTGTTCACCAGGTAATAATAGCTTAATTACATTTTTCACCCATTTGGACAAAACCGCAGTCAACAACTAGGATATCAGTTTTTCAAAGCCAGAGAAATAAATCTGAACATTATTCCCTAATTGTGTGTTTTCTCCATAATTTTTGTTGTTATACCTTCAAATATTCTCGTAAAGGGAGCTATTGAAGGGGTGCCTTTATATTGCAGGAAGCCCTTGGGGGGCGAAAACAGATGCTGCACAAATACCTAAAGAGAAACCTTGTGGCACCATAAAGACTAACAACTTTTTTATTCTAGAACAAGCTTTGCAAACTAGAGTCCACGTATCAGATGTATGTGATCTGTCCCCATTAAGCAGGTGGATATAGAGACTGTGAAGAAAGGTGCAAACACCAGAATCCAAAGAACCCTAAAATGCAGGAAGTCCAGGGTGAGACATAATTATGCAAATATAATGAGGCATTTGTTAAGTCCTTGTGAGATGGTGGGACACAGAAATGCACATGAATCTATCTGCCCCTGTATGAGATCCCTCCCACTGGCCACCCACTATCTAAAGGTACATTTGATTCTTTGGTTGCATAGTAGCCAGTTTCCAATTTTCTGTCTTTTTCATCCTAGCACAGGATACATCTTTACTTGGAGAAGGATAATTAAACTGAAACAGAGACCTTTCTTTTCTTTTCTTTTCTTTTCTTTTCTTTTCTTTTCGATTCTTTTCTTTTCTTTTCGATGCACTGCCCCAAATCAGAAACAATCCAGGAAGCACTGTTGCTCTTAACTGAAGCACAAATGATTAGCCATGGCCCATCTGAGTAAGGATCTGGGAGCAAGTTCTGTGGAGAGAGAGACCTTGAGGTGAAGCTGAGCCACTAGGATGTATGTACTAATGGGAAAACACAGGTCTGGGGAGCGCTGAAGGAGCTTGCACTCAGTCAGCAGATGCCAGTTCACCACATCATATCTATTACAAATGCCTGCTTGGTGTGGTAGGTGGAGCTGGAACAGGCAGAGGCTTCTGTCCGTCCGCCGGGAATGCAAGGAGGCTGGCGCTGACTGGGGCACCTGCTCCCTGGCAGTGTCCTTTGCCAGAGCGGCTCAGTGCCAGCACTCTTAATCGGGAGCAACAGACGGTGAGGACCGAGGAAGAGAACCCCTCGGAGAGTGATAGAATCACAGAATCACAGGATGTGAGAGTTGGAAGGCACCATGCAGGTCATCTAGTCCAACCCCCCTGCACTCTGCAGGAGCAGAGCTGAAAGAGAGCCCTACATACCTACCAGAGGACTTCAGACGCAAATTGGTGACTGAAAAGAACCACCATTTTTTAATGCTGAAAACAACACTGTAGTACAAAACACTGGAACAAAAATAACCCATTGGTACTTAAAAAATCATGGGTCCTGCCTAAAGACTAGGTATTTAATTTTATACTTAAACACTTAATTTTATACCTCCCAGGTAGAAAGCAGAAGGGCTCTTTACAGTTAGTGGCAGATAGTTCCCAATATTTGAAAGCAAAGCAATACAGGATGGGAAGAATTTGTGGCGCTCAAAAGGGAGTAAATCATGCCATGCATATGTACAGGTATGCTTATTATGTGTGTGTAGGAATTAGAAGCAAAACACAGGCTTTGGGAGTAAATAACCAGTAGCTCTAACTGAGAAGCCACAGGCTTCCCCCAAAATCCTATTTGCAGAAAAACAAGCCTCTGTAATCTGGATCTAAGATGGACAATCTAATGAGAGCCAGTAGAGGTAGTGGTTAGAGCAGCAGACCCGAGATCTAGGTTGAAATCTCCACACCGTCATGGGTAAATGGGCCAGTCACTCTCCTTTAGCCGCAACTACTTCACAGGGTTGTTGTGAGTATAAAGGGCTGCATCCAGACCAAATTGGCAATTTCTATTGATTCTCCCCAAACGGCTGATGCCCTCTCATGTCATTCTTCACAGTGCCCCCAAAGCAGCGTTTGTGGAGATCCCGCTGGAAGGGTGAGGCGGGAAAGCTCTTTTCCACTGATGGAAACCATAGTCTGGTTCCAACCCGATATGTGGAGCCGCGCATGCTACTCTGTGCTCCTTAGGTGAAGGAGAGTAG